CAAACAGTGTTTATTTAATTTATTTATGGAAATGCTTAAAACAAACAACACCTCTGAACTTTCTCACTCCATCTTGACTGTAAGGTCCATTTGTTCTTTCAGTGTTATTACGTACCTGGCACTCTGAAAAAAGTACTCACACAAAAGCAAGCAAAAGTTTGTCTTATCCATGGAAGAATAAATTCTAAGAATTAATAATTAAAAAATTCTAATTTTCCCAAAATGATAATTAAAGAAGAGACTTCCCTGTCTGTTCGCTCAGTCCCTTCTCAGAGAATGGACTCATAACAGGTCAGAGACTAATGTCCCTTGAATTATTACTTCCTTGTTTAGCTGCCTCACTGTAAACATAGAGCCTAGACACCAATGAGATGAAAATAAAAATCCCCTGGATAATTTGGGGTTGAAGTAAAAAAAAGATCTCATTTTTTGCTGTTAATCATCCTGAGTAGAAGAAGAACTGGCAACTGAGAGAAAATTACACTTCCAACCAGAAGGTAATCTACAAGGAACAGAAGTCTGGAGCCAGTAGCAGAAAGAATAGGAAGAGAGATGTTGGTGTTGTCAGCTTTCAGGGCCTGGAGCTGGTCCTCAGAAAGATCTGCTTGAGCTTCCATGGCTCATGTTCCAAATCCTTATGAACTCTTACGAGATATTTGTTAATTTATCTCCTTCTCTTTTTGTCAACCTATTATAACGAAGGTCTGTGTAGTTTTGAATTAAAAATTTTGGTCTGTTTTACTGATAACACTTATTTATCTGCTTACTTTTGAGATCTGATGAACTCCTCTCTCCTTTTTAAAAAAGAATTTGTATTTTATGCATACGAGTGCTTTTGTCTGCATATCTACACATCAGAAGAGGATGTCAGATCCCGTTATAAAGGGTGGTGAGCTGCCATATGGTTGCTGGGAATTGAACTCAGGACTGTAGTTGGAAGATTTTCCTGTGTCCCAGCCGGCCAGTGGTCGGGACAAATCCCTCCCACTTGCATCCCCAAGCAAGCACACAGAGGCTTATGTTAATTATAACTGCTCAGCCATTAGCTCAGGCTTATTACTGACTACCTTTTACATTTAATTTAACCCATAATTCTTTTTTTTATTTTTCTTTATTAAGAAATTTTCTACTCACTCTACATATACCCACAGATCCCACCTCTTCCCTCCTCCCACCCCCCAGCACTCTCTCCCAAGCCATCCCACATCCCCACATCCCCCAAATCGAGGTCTCCTATGGGGAGTCAGCAGAGCCCAGCAAACTGAGCCTAGGCCAGTCCAAGTCCCTTCCCACTGCACCAAGGCTGTGCAAGGCGTCACACCACAACCCATAATGCTTATCTATGTTTTGCCACATGGCTAGTGACTTACAAGTATCTTTACATCTTGCTTCTCTTGGCTGCGACCAGCAGTGTCTCCTCTGCTCTCTTTCTTTCTTCATCTCTCTCTAGTTAGAATGTCCTGCTTAACCTTATTCTGCCTCACCATTGGCCAAACAGCTTTATTCATTAACCAATCATAGCAACACATATTCACAGCATACAGAATGACATCACCCATCATTTCCCCTTTTCTTTCTATTCACAACTGAGAAATGGTACCATGCCACGTGGCTAAACATAGATAAGATTTATGGGTTAATTTAAGATGAAAGAGCTAGCTAGTGAGATCCATTATGAGTCATTAGGCCATACAGTTCATAAATAATATAAGCCTCTCTGTGTTTATTTGGGTCCAAGCGGCTGTGGGACCATGGTGCTGTGGGAGCTGGGCGGGACCAGAGAAAACTTACAACTACTACACAGGACCTCTGAAAGAGTTGCTGGTGAGCTTAACTGCTGAGTCATCTCACCAGCCCCCATGAGTTTATCTTAAAAAAAAAAAAACTTACAATTTACTTTATTATAATGAAAATTCTAGAAAAGTATTTAAGGGAAAAGAAGCCCCCAAAGAGTTAAGAGGCTATTTGTTTCTCTGCTTCAAGCAACCCATGAAAGAAAGGAAGATCTTATGTTTTGGTCCCTCTTAATTTAAGTGACAAAAATCAACTTAATAAAAGTTACAGAGATTTCTCTGCGATTACCTCAATTCAAAACAGATTTTGAATTCTTTTTTTTTTTTTTTTGAGACAGGGTTTCTCTGTGTAGTTTTGTGCCTTTCCTGGAACTCGCTTTGAAGACCAGGCTGGCCTCGATCTCACAGAGATTCGCCTGGCTCTGCCTCCCCAGTGCTGGGATTAAAGGCATGCACCACCACCGCCCGGGTTGAATTCTTATTTCTATCTAAAACTTAATCTAATCTACACTCAACATTTTTTCTAAAGAATTGGTCTAAAAATTTTAAAACTGACTGCATATTTTCCTTTTCTTTATTTTTTTTATTTTTTTATTTTTATTTCCTTTTTATTTAAAACAGATTTTTATCATAATATATATCCAAGTTATAAAGTACCTTCTTTACTTGCCCCAGATTCTCTCCACTTCCCATCCCCTCCTGATCAACTCTGTTTCTGTGTCTCATTAGAAAAGAACAGATTGTTAAGAGCTAAAAACCAAACATTACAAAATAAAATATAATAATATAAAGCAAAGACAATAAGACAAATGAAGGAGATTAAGGAAATACATATTGGAAAGGAAGAAGTCAAAGTAGTATTATTTGAGGATGGTATGATACTAATACATAAATGACCTGAAAAATTCCACTGGGAAACACCTACAGCTAATAAATACTTTCAGCAAAATAGCCAGGTACAAAATTAACTCAGAAAAATCAGTACTCCTTCTATATACAAATAACAAGCAGACTGAGAAAAAAATCAGGGAAACAATATGGTGATATTTTATTTGTACTAAAATGTTATTTGTATGTTAATAAATAAAGTTGCCCGGGGTCAGAGCTATTAGCAAGCCATAGGAAAGCAGGGCAGTGGTGGCATACGCTTGTAATCCCAGCACTTGGTAGGCAGAGCTAGATAAGTTTCTGTGTGTTCAGGGATACAGCCAGTACTAGATACACATGACTTTAATCTCAATATCAATCATAGAAAACCTAGAGGCCTATACAGACAGGCTGTGATGAGGCAGTCATGTGGTTGGGTTTACAACCAATGAGAAGGCAGGACAGGAACTCTATATAAAGACTTTAACACAGAAAGTAGCTCTGGTTCGAAGAGTTAGGACTACCGCAGGGGGAAGGGTAAGGTTTTAGCTCTTAGTTCTGACCTCTTGGCTTTCTTCTTTGCATTGGTTCTGTGTTTCTTATTTAATAAGACAGTAGGTTACATCTACACAAAACCTTTCCCAATAATCTGAAATAATATAAAATATCTTGGGGTAACACTAACCAAACAAGCAAAAGACTTAAATGATGAAAACTTCAAGTCCTTAAAGAAAGAAATTAAAGAAGATATCAGAAGTTGGAAAGATCTCTCATGCTCATGGATTGGAAAGATTGAAATGGCCACTCCACCACAAGTGATTTACAGATTCAATGCAATCCACATCAAAATTCCAGCAAAATTCTTTACAGGCCTTGAAAGGATAGTTCTCAACTTTATATGGAAAAACAAAAGCCCCAGGATAGCTAAAACATTTCTGAACAATAAAAGAACTGCTGGAGGTCTCACTATACCCGATTTTAAGTTGTACTACAGAGTTACAGTAATTAAAAACTACATCATATGGTAAAAAAAAAAAAACCAGACATGCTGATTAATGGAACTGAATTGAAGACCCAGACATAAATCCACATACCGATAAACACCTTATTTTTGATAAAGAAGCTACAAATACATACTGGAAGAAAAACAATGGTGCTGGTCAAACTGATGTCTACATGTAGAAGAATGCAAATAGATTTACAGTTATTACCCTACACAAAACTCAAGTCCAAGTGGATCAAAGATGTCAGCATAAAACCAGATACACTGAACCTGGTAGAAAAGAAAGTGGGAAATAGCCTTGAACCCATTGGCACAAGAAACAGTTTTCTGAACAGAACACTGGTTGTACAGGCACCAAGGTCAACAATCAATAAATAGGACCTGATAAAACAGAAAAGCTTCTGTAAGGCAAAAGAAACTGTCACTAGGACAAAACAGCAGCCTACAGAATGGTAAAAGATTTTTTTTTTTTACCAACTCCACATCTGAGAGAGGACTAATATCCAAAATATATGAATGACCCAAGAAACTAGATTTTAAAAAACCAAATAATCCAATTAAAAGTAGGTATAGATCTAAACAGGGAATTGTCAGTAGAGGAATCGCCAATGGCTGAGAATCAGTTAAAGAAATGTTCAACATCCTTAGCCATAAGGTAAGTGCAAATCAAAACTACATTGAGATTCCATTTCAGAATGGCTAAGATCAAGAACATAAGTGGCAGCTCATGATGGCGAAGATGTGGAGCAAGCAGAACCCTCCTCCATTTCTAGTGGGAGTGCAAACTTGTATTGCTACTATGGAAACTGATACAGTGGTTTCTCAGAAAGTTGGGAGTTGAGCTATCTCAAGATCCAGCCTGGCCACTCTTGGGCAAATACCCAAAGGGTACAAAATCCTACCTTAGCCATACTCAACCATATTCATTGATGTTTTATTCATAATAGTAAGAAACTGGAAACAACCTAGATGTGCCTCAATAGAAAATTGGATATAGAGAACAGGATATATTTATTCAATGGAATATTACTCAACTGTTAAAAAAATGGCACCATGAAATTTGCAGATAATTGTAGATGGACATTTCCTGTCCCATCTGCCTGTTTCCAAATACCTGGCAGCCACTTCCCAAATAATTGACTTCGAGGCTTAATAATACTTATAAATTCTTGGCCAATAGCTCAGGATTATTATTAGCTAATTCTTATACTTAAATTAATCCATATTTCTATGTATGCTTAGACACATGGCTTGGTACCTTTTCTCAATATCATCTTGCTTCTCTGCTTTTGTCTGCAATTCTCTAACTCCACCCTTCTCCTTCCTATCATCCTTAGTTTGGTCACCCTGACTATGCTTCCTGCTCAGCTACTGGTCAATCAGCATTTTATTAAACCAGTTCAAGTGATAAATCTTTACAGTGCACAAGGGAATTTTTCTGCAGCAGATAAAGGATATAACTAGGAAAAAAAACAACCTCAGCGACGTAACCCAGACCCAGAAAGATGAATATGGTAAGTATTTTCTTATAAATGGGTAGTAGCCATTAAGTAAATGATAAGCAAACTATAATCCATAGACCCAGAGAGGTTGAGTATAGAACAAAGGTCTAGGAGGGATAGATGGAGCTTCCTGGGACGGGAAAATGGAATATATTTCACAAGTGGACAGGAGGCAGTTAGGGACAGGAACGGGAGAGTCGGATGGGGAGGAGGAGAAGAGATTGGTTAGAAGGAGAGAATGCAGGGAGAGTCAGCTGGAATGAGAGGCATTTGAGGGGTGATATGGAGACCTAGTGCAGTAGAAACTTCCTAAAATATATGAAGGTGATCCTAATGAGCTTGCCTAACAGTGGGGGTTATGGAGTCTCAACTGGCCATCTCATCAAAAACTGAGGCTTCCCGTATCAAGACTGGGTTGCATTCAATTGAGTTGTTCACCGAAAGGGGCCCCACGGAAATCCACAAACATCGAAGGCTAAGACATTCTAAGACAATGGGATGCTCTCTGCAAATTGACAGTGAGGCCCCACTGCTGAGGACAACACCCACTAACACTTTTTTTTAAAAGACAGTGTCTCTCTATATAGCCCTGGCTACACTGGAACTCACTATGTAGACCAGAGTGAAGTCAAACACAGATAGATCTGCTTGGCAGTACCTCTAAGTGCTGGGTTAAAAATATGATCCACTACACCTAGTGTGCTACTTGTCTTTTTGCCTCTTTAATTCTAACTAGTTTTTTGTTGCATTGCCTTTTTAAATTATTTCTTTCATTTTTGATATTATATTGCAATTAAATTATTACCCCTTCCCTATCCTTTCTCCAAATTTTCCAATATCCCCCTCTTTGCTGTCTTTCAAACCCATGACCTCTTTTTCACTAACTGTTGTGACATACATACATGCATATGTATGTACATTCCTAAATACACAAATACACCATGCTCAGTCTATATAATGTCACTTGTATGTATATGTTCAGGACTGATGTCTCTTTTCTTTTTCTTTCACTGATTCCTTCTTTTTCTTATATGTCCATCATTCCTCTGGAGTCTGCCCTATAGTTTGCAAGCTTGTTCTGTTGACTTTTGATATTTCCTTTTCACTTTCCACTCTCAAATCTAACATGTCCCTATTAAGACTCAGATATGAACTCATAGCTCTCTCTTAGTTTCTGAGCTCAGCAAATTTCTATGCCACATTATAGCAAATGAAACGAAGCATATTCTGGACTTCATATCCAAACATAAATGCCCTAGCAGAATATATACACAGTTGTTGTATGTACTCTCTTATCATGAGAATAGATTAAAATTATTTTTAGCCATAGGAAAATCTTATAAAGCCCGAATGCTTTGAGGTCAAAGTGTCATGTTTTTACTGTAACATTCAGCAGAAAATTATCAGCTTGTACTACCTGAGAATCTGATAAAGTTTAATCTTGTCCTTAATTAAAAACACCACTTCCTAATTACCATTCGATACTCCTCTTACAGAATCTAAAAATATGGCTGTGAATGAAATTCTCCTGAAAGTAATGTTTGTAGTCATTTCTGGGTTAAAGAATGAGATATATTTCACTTTATAGGAATATGTTTCCTGACATTTGTCCTGTTGCATTATGATCAAAGAGTCGCAGTGCTGAATGTGGGAAGTTTGCAAGAAGGCTGACTAAGTGATTACATAAACTTCTAAGCAGGGACATCCTCCATTATGTTCCCTGCCTGTGAGAAATCCTCTGTGGGCTGTATCTCACAGACAGAATAGGTTTCTAGCTACTGGGAACCCACAGGCAGATTTTAGAATGTTTATTAGTGTAAATATATATAAAACTAGGTCATTGACAGTGAACTCAAAGAGATTAGGTTGTTAGGGACACAAACAGGAATTTTTAATCACATATTCCTTCATAAGTAGATGAAAAAGATTAAGGTGGGTGTTAAGTGAGGGTCCATTCTTTAACCTCGTTAGCCTAAAATTCACTGTACTGGCTTCAAAGTCACTCTACATCTCCAGTCTCATCCTTCTAAACACTGAGGTTACAAGCATGAGTCACCATACTTAGATGTAGAAAAATCTTTTATTTAGTTAGCTAATTACTTTTGTTGATAAAAGATTTCACTATGCATTCAAAACTGGTCTTGAACTCAAAGGAATCCTTCTCCTTCAGCTTTCCAAATTCCAGGACTGCAGGCATGCAATACCACACCAGGCCAGGTGGTGATGATTTTTGCTATTAAATATAAAGCTACAGTCTGTTTTCAGATATTTGACCTATTAGAAAGCAAGTCAGCCTCAGAAATTATACAACTTCTGAGTCATATTTTGTATGTCTCATCTCCCAACCAGTGATTGAATATGCTTATTTTGTAATGGCTTAGATGGTGTCATGTTATTGATTTTCTCATTTAAAATGCTTTCTGGGGATACTTTAGGATATAAAGTCCAATTTTTTGGGATTTTACATTTATTGATGTTTAAGCCTTGCATAAGTATAGATATATTCAAAGAGATTTATATTAAATTATGCTTTATATCTTTTATGAATGAATCATCATTTCATTCCAGTATTTTTTTATTCAAATATCACATCAAAGAAGTTTTCCAAATATACCCTGTAGAAAAATCTACCTTACCTTCTTATGTACCTGTATCTTGCCTGACTACTTATTTCATATTGGTATAAAGAATTTTATATTCTTTGTATGTGATATAACATCACCAAAAAGCATGAGTACACTGATTGCTTCTTTTCTTCCTGTCTTAGTCTTTTATTGCTGTTAAGAGTCACCAAGACCATGGCAACTCTTATAAAGAAAAACATTTAATTGGGGCTGGCTTACAGTTCAGAGGTTTAGCCCATTAACATCAAGACAGGAAGCATGGTGGCATGCAGGTAGACATGATGCTGAAGAAGGAGCTGAGAGTTCTACATCTTGATCCACAGGCAACAGGAAGTGCATTTCATACTAGATCTGGCTTGAACATTTTAAACCCCAAAGCCTGCCCCCTAGTGACACACTTCCACCAACAAAGCCACAACTACTCCAACAAGGCCACACCTAAGAGGGCCACACCTACACTGCCACTCCATATGGGCCTCTTGGGGCCATTTTTATTCAAACCACCACATTCTACTTCCTGGTCCTCATAGGCTTATAGCCATATAATATAAAATGCATTTAGTTCAACTTCAAAAGTCCCCATAGTCTATAATTGTCTCAAACTTGTTTAAAAGTCCAAAGTTCAAAGTCTCTTCTGAGACTCATGAAATCTCTTAGCCGTAATCAGCTATAAAATCAAAATGAAAAGGCAGATCACATACGTCCAACAAACAATGGCGTAAGGTATACATTACCATTTCAAAAGGGAGAAAGGGAAAATTGAGAGGAAATACTGGACGAAAGCAAGACGAAAAACCAGCTGGGCAAGCTCCATACTCTACATCTCCATGTCTGATGTCAAGATGTTCTTCAGATCTCCAATTCCTTTCAGTTTTGTTGTCTGCAACACATTCCTTTCTCTTGGACTGGTTCCACTCCCTGTTAGTAGCTCTCCTCGGCAGGTATGCATGGCTCTGGCAACTCCAACATTTTGGGGTCTCTAAGGCAATCAAAGCTTCACCTTCACAGCATCACACAATGGCATCTCTTGGCCTCCATGCAGGGACACCCATGACACATACCTGGCCTCAGTGGCGATCCTGAGTCACAGAGGGAGATTCCATAACCACTTTCTTCTATTTTTGACTCCAAAGCCAGAACCACATGGCCAAAACTGCCAAGTTCTGCTGGTTTCTGGGAATGGAACATGGCCCCCTCATTTGATTACATCAGCAGCAGCTATCTGTTTCCAATGGTTTCCTTTACTGCCTAAGCTTAGCTGTCCTGAAACTCAATCTGTAGATCAGGCTGGCCTCAAACAGAGAAATTTATATTATATTAATTTATATATATTTATAGTCTGGTCAAAAAAGACTCTTTCGTGAATAACTGATCCATAGTATTGTCTATAATGCTAAGCAAAAGACTGGAAATAAGTGATACTCAAAATGAAAACAGTTGAATAACTTTGTATATATTCATGGCTTAATCAGTTCCATAAATACTTAAAATAATGTGTACATGATTCTTGGTAAGTAGAATTTTCTGTTGTTGGAATGCTATGTTAATAAAGTAAAAGCTAGCATTATATTACATTACGATTATGAGTTTATATTTATACTCCTGAAGCACTGAAGAAACATTCCCTGTTCTATACATTTGTAGCACGTGTGTTTGGATGGAGACACTATGGATTATGCTTTATTCTTTTTAATTTCTTGTCAGAGGAAATAAAGCAAAGAGGACAAAAAGCAACACAGAACTAAGTGTCACAAACTGATCATCTGTCATGCTAAAATGCCACAAATATGAAGTCTTTAGTAATAACACTTAGGCTTTCATCAGTGTTCACTATGTGCAGGGATTATTTGAAGTACTTTACTGAAACAAAACTGCCAAATTTTCATAACTGCTTAACTAAACTATCATGATTATAATATGCAAATTATAGCAATGTCAGAGAGAGATTGGTAGAGTGGCCAATGTCACCAAGCTGAGAGGTGGTGGACCTGGACTTTGAACACTTGTCTAACTTTGGCTAAATATCTTAACTTTTAGGCAAGAAACAGGCAAGTATATGCTTCTGAAATAAGACTACTTCTGAAAGAAGGCTACTGATGCCTGAACTTTCTCCTCTGGCAGTGGGCACAGCACTTTTCAGCACCCTGAAAACTAGTCAGCAAGGAGGAAGCTACAAGTTCATTTCCAGTTTGATTTGCTATATTATGCATCCAATGTATATAAGGTCCTCAGCAACAGGGACCTGTAATCTAGTGAAAATTATAGGAATGGCAAAAGCCTGTATTATTTGAGGAGCTTCTGGCACCTCTCTGACAAACAATTTGTAAGGAGGTATCACAGACCTGGCATTAGTTAGGGCTTTTGTTTACTATCCCATGGCTGCTGGGAATATGTTTTTCTTTATTTTTTTTTCAGTCATGCCTGGTATCTCCCTTCATTTTTTAAATATAAATTATATTTTTAACTTGATGGCAAGACAGTAATTTTCCATGTGGCTTTTTCATATCCTCTTTCTCTTGGTTAACCCTCTGCTATGCCTCTTCTCTCTTCGTCTCTCAACTACTCTTTCATCTGATCGTTAGTCTTAATTGTCAACTTGACAGTCTAGAGTCACCAAGAGAGTCCCAGTAAGGAATTATCTTGTCGGGTGTGCTTGTGGGTATGTTTGTAGGAAATTATGTTGGCCACATTGACTGATGTGAGAAGACCTGTCCACCGTGGGTGGCACAATTCCCTAGGGAGCAGATCCTGAACTCGGTATGATCAGAGAAGGTAAGTTGATGCCAAGCATGCATGGATCATTTCACTATTCTCTACTTCTTGACTACGGAAACAGTGGAAGCACTGTTCTGTGGTGACTTTTCCACAACAGTAGACATAGAATTGTGAGGTAAAAGCAGCCCTTTTCCCCCAATTTCTCTTTTGATCAAGCTTTTTTAAAAAAAAAATAATAACAGTAACAGAAAAGAAACTAAGAAGCTGCTTAAAACTCTCCACCCTCAGTAGTCTTTGTCAGGCAAGAGGTACTCAATTGTGCAGTCATGTCACAACTGATATGAGGGAATACAACTGAATTTGAGATTCAGTCTAGAATCTCCACCTGGTACTGTAAACCTGATTTAAAAAACAAAAACATGGTCATAGACCCTTGTGGGGAGCTGAATACTGATGCTTAGTAAGTTGGCATAGTGTTAGGCTACTCTCTAAATATTTCATATCCATTTAAACATGCTGCTGTCGGCCTTCATCAGAGGAGTCTCTCTTTCCAGTGAACTGTATTGAATCCAGAGACTCATGGCTGCAAAAGGTACCTAAACTAGAGAATAAGTGATTGATGAGTACTCAACTCTAAACAAGACATTCATACAATGTCTAATCCCTAAAACTCTGAAAGGCTTAGGGAACACGGCAAAAGAGGAGGATAAAAAACATAACAGCAGGAAAAGAGGTAGAAGGTTTATGAAATGTCATCTTCTGGGCAAGACACAGCCAATGTAATTATGAACTCATAGCATTGAGTGTCTACAGTGGGTCAACACAAGAATGGACCTGTTAATAGTCAGGCATGGATGAACACAGGAGGTCAGTGTTACTCCTAACTGCTCAACTAATTGCTAGATAGATAGATTCAGGGTGAGGAGGAATCATTCCCTTCAGTGATGTATTCATCCCCACAAGGATCCAATGAATAGCTCCAGCCTAATGGTCACAGAGATGGCCCTATAGTTAATCTAAGTGAGTCACAAAACCAAACCAAAAGTCAAGAATCAGGAAAGGGTTTGATAGAGATGAAGGACAGGACTGGTAGGAATGAAATGGAGATAAAGATGATAGGAAAGAGAGTAATCAGAATACATTGTATACATATATAAAACTGCTGAAGAACAAAATTAATTAATAAGAAATATTTTAAATACAATGTTAAGTGATCATTTGCTATTGGGAAATGGTTCATTCTTTTGTTTCAGTTAACCAAAAAAAATATTTTGCATAAATTGAGTTAGTTACTGCTGGAATGTAAATTGTTGGGTTACAGAGTATATATTATTCTGGAGATAATTACTGTGTCTTGGTGCCATGCCAGGTTGCTCTGACAGCAAATGACCTTAATCAGAACTTCATAAGAAATCTATTGAACCTAATCTCATGTTTTATCCTATGTATATAATGTTATTAGAACACTGTGTCTCATAACAGTGTACCATAAACTATTTTCTATAAAAAATAATGCTGTTTACAGTTTCGTCAAAAATAAAATAACTACTGTTATTCAGTGAGAAAGCATGGGTTTTAGAAACCTTGGGATTCATTTCTTTGGATTTTAATCTATTTCAATGTAACTCTCCATCTATGAGAGTATTCAGGATGCTTATCATCTGGATATATGATTTATGATGGAAATTCAACTAAAAGGTTTTGAAATTTCTATGATGCTCAGTGCTTGAGAATTACAGACCCATAGAACTGAATGATCTGATTGCCATTTTTTTTTGAATCAAGAATCCCGGTATTTGTTATTTACTAATTATAACACACAAGTTAATTAATAGATGTAAATATGAATGCAGATACAGCTGACACTTTGGAAATGCCTTTAAAAAAAAATAGAGCTGATTCTACTCTCAGCGAAAACAGTTCAGGAAATTGAATTTAGGATGCCAGGTGGCACAATAGGTTATACATTAACTTGTCCCCTCTGGAAAATTAAATTTGAATTTGGCTCTGGTCACAAATGAAATGAGTCATTTGGTACATGCCACTAAGGATACTCACAAAGCCAAAATGACATTTCATTGAAAAATTACCCGTTAGGAAAAATGTCTGCAGTCACTGGGGAGTTTTCAAGAAAAATAAGCAAGAACATGGGACAAAAATGAAGGATACAGAGGAGCAGTAGAGAGTGTGGGCTCACAGAGAAAGGCTACAGGACAAACTGATTGCCAGCCAGAAACTCACACTAACCTGTATCCCAAGATCCTCGAACATTTTTATTTTCCAGGAAAATGTTGCTTTTCCCCTTGTCACGAGTTTAGCCAAATGCCAGTTTGTGTTAAAACATCATGAATTATCAAGCTCACTACAACACATTTAGTTATGATTTTAAACTTTATGCTTATAGCTTCCTGTTCTTTTAGACAAATGGACGCTACTATGATTTATCATTCTTTCATTTAGGAAAATAAAAAAATGTACAACTGACGAACTTAAAGATAACCTTAGTTTGTAATTTATAATATACTTTCATTGTGATGTGGTTGTTCATAGAATGATCTCACTGCAAGCATTTTGACAAGAAAATGAGACTAATAGAACATTAGTACTGTCCAAACAATCAACAAAAGCCTGTTGGAGAAATGTAATACACAATTATAAAATGTATCTTATTTCTCCACATTTAGCTGTTGTTTACTGGATTCTAACTAGTCACAGGTAACTCATTCTGTGGATTACCCAAGTTGGAAAGAGTACCTTTTAAGTCAGGCAATGACCAATTATATACATTCTTTCAAAGAATAATATCCAAATTATGTTGTACCCACTTCAGTTGACACCTTCAACAAGTGAGTGGCCATGGGTATCTAAACTGTTGCAGTCCTGTATGTGCTGGGGCAAAGCAAGAGACTATGGTAATTCTCATCCTATAGTTTTACCTTAGCAGAGAAATTCTAGCATGTTCTACTGTAAAAACTATATGACAAAAAACTATTGCATGACGTGAAAAAGTTAATTACAAAAATTTATTCATGGAACCCCTAAGACACATTTCTAATAATGCTTAATAAACAAAGGTCCTTGCTAGGCAATCTTATTAGAACTTAATCAAAAGGACAGACCCTATTTTAAGAGGATTAAGACAAATGGACTGCACAGCAAGATCTGAAATGAAAGTGTCATGCAATTTTCATATGCTAATTAATCTTTATGTAAATCAGACATTCAAATATGCATTTTACGAAAAAGAATGCATTGACTTTTTTTAGAAGTTATTTAGGAACACTGGCCCTAAATACAAATGCATTTAATATGTCCTATGATACAGGTGGAAAAAACAATTATAAACAACGAAAAAATATTAATATGATATTACAATTATCAAGCAATTGTAGAAACAGCACTCAACTCCTCCGTGAAAATGAAGCAAACACAGAAGAAAAAGCTAAGTATAGTTTTTATCTTCTATACGACCTAAAACAAAATTACCTTTCTTGTGTTCTGTTTGTCTCTTATTATCCTGGGAACTTTAAAACTAGAAAATGTAGTTTATTTGTGACAACAATATCTAGTCCTGGAATCTCTAGGAAGAGTTTATAACATGTGCAAATAATAAGGGACTTTCTTTGCAGTTTTCACATACAATGGGTAAAACTGTTATTTTGTTTTCATTATTTTCAGGATGTAAAAAAAAAATCAACGTCAGTCAGGAGAGAAAGACAGAATTGGCAATGCTTTTTGTTTCTCTTCGAGGTGATGGACATTAAGCTTGTGTCAACATCAACAAAAATTTCCTTAGCCTCTTACAATTGCATATTTCTATCTGAGAAATCTTGGAGGTACATACTACCTCTCAATGGTTAGGACACATTTTGTCAATTTACTGTCAAAATACTCATTCAAGTGCCAATTTGAAAAGTAATCAGTAGTTTTATTAAGAGTAAAATAACCCATTATTAGTTTTTTTAAAGGTTTCCTTTGTCACCTTTCAAATTGAGTTTTGAAGGTTTAAGTACTTCAAAATCAATAATAAAAATAGGGTTTTCAGAATACATTTTATTTGTCTTACCATAGCAGAAAAGAGATCCTGGGGATTGGACAGAGTGCTGTATCTGAGTTGGAGATTAGCTTCACAAAGAGAACAAAGTGTCCCTGTATTATCTTTTTCTAATATTTAACATTCTTTGAGACTCATAACTCAAATCATAAAGACCTTGAAGACACTGCACTAATGCCCTACTTTTAATGCCTCTATAATAATACCAGAAAAGATATTTAGCTTGCAAATTTTTTTTTAAGCTGAGAGTTGTAATGTCTTGTGGGACAGGATAACTGCATGTGAAAGTCATAAAATATCCAAAGACAGTACAAATTTCTGAATGCCCAACAACCAAAATGTAATTCAAAATCAAATAACATAGTCAGAGTAAGTTGTCTCTGTCAGTGCTTGCCTGTGTGGTGTCACAGGACTACACTGCAGTCTTGGTTCTGAACACAACATGAGCACCCTGTGGTATGCACATCATCATATCAGGCAATACCAACAATGCTGCCTGGGATGTGTCACTATAGATCTGAGATTATTAAACGGTTTGAACTGGAGTGTTTTTACTACATGTGATGTGGGTTTTATCTTAAATTTTGCTGTTTATATCCTTATTAATGTCTCCTTATGCAGTCTTGGCTGGACCTGAACCTACAATGTAGACAAGGCTGGCTCAAACTCACAGAGCTCTGCTTGTCTCTGCCTCTCAAGTTTTTCCAGGCTAAAGAGTCTTCCATAAAGACTCTTTCAAGGGAAGGCTCTGAGATTTAGATTAGGTTATGTTCTTATCATGAACCAACACCTTAACCACTTTATAATAAAGATATATTTCATGTTGTGACAATGATCATCCTCATGGTGAATTGCCTGGAAGGCAGCTACACGCTATCACTCTTACCCTGTATATTCTAGTTTGTTATGCAGCCATTTCTCCTTAATTAAAATATTCTCTCCTGGAGGAAATTTAAAGACTTGGAAGTAAATGAAACTTACAAGTCTCAGGGAGCCCATGAAACTTACAGGATTCACAAGACCCCTTACCCAAGGTTATAAGCACTTAGCAATTGCTACGGAGATGCTGCCATTGGCTCAGCTGCCTGTAATTACTACAAGGAGTTCCTGGTATGCTAGGGTGGACTTTTTGGTGATAGATCTGCTTCTGAGTCACTCATGGACTGGTAAGCAACCCCAACAAACTCACTAGTTGACTAAGTTAGACTTGAGTGGAATTATTTCTTAAGTCTGTTTTTTGTGCTCTTTCTTGGGTGAATACATATCTGTAACCGGAGTTTTCTCCAATCCCACTTGGGCCCACAGCTGCTTAGAACCAAGTAAACACACAGAGACGCATATTACTTATAAACTGTATGGCCGTGGCAGGCTTCTTGCTATCTGTTCTTATATCTTAAATTAATCCATTTCTATTAATCTATAAGTTGCCACATGGCTTGTGGCTTACCAGTACTTTACATTTTACTTCTTATGGTGGCAGTGGCTGGCAGCATCTCCTGATTCAGCCTTCCACTTCCCAGAATTCTCCGCTCTCCTCTCTTGCCTATAATATACTTCCTGCCTGGCTACTGGCCAATCAGCATTTTATTTATCAATCATTCAGAGGAACACATTCACAGCATACAGAGGGATCAATATCCACAGTAGATATCATTATTCTATATGTCACATTGTAAGACTAAAAATCAAACCACTCTGTGTAGTTTTATCAACATAACATGGAGAGAAAGGGAAGATGCCATACTGGGAAATAGTTGGTAGGTCTTACTATAACACATAACTCTTCCACTAAAAATTCACCAAACTGGACATTCAGTTTCATGCAGTCAAAGGTCATGAAGATTTTATTATTATACCTTTGCCATTTATGTTTTCCTTTTCTGGAACATCTACGACTCCTCTTACAACTCTGTTAGTAATCTTAACATGAGAGTGAGATATTCCAGAATACATATCATACCCAATTCCCCTGGTCTATATTTTAAACATTCACATGTTTGTCCCAGAATGAGAACTGAATAAATATTTGCAGAATGAGTTAATATACAATATCAACCTTTAAAATTTCATTTGTATATCTATAATATATACATAGTTCTCTAACATTTCATATACTTTTGAATATCAATATTAAGAGGGATTAAGATTTAACCTTCCTTTAATTTACTTCATTTATCTCTTTTTTTTTTTTTTTTTTTTTTTTTTTTTGGTTTTTCGAGACAGGGTTTCTCTGTGTAGCTTTGCGCCTTTCCTGGGACTCACTTGGTAGCCCAGGCTGGCCTCGAACTCACAGAGATCCGCCTGGCTCTGCCTTCCGAGTGCTGGGATTAAAGGCGTGTGCCACCACCGCCCGGCTTATCTCTTTTTTAATGTTAATTTTAGGCTTTGGATTCTTTAGCTTTCTACAACTGTTAAATGTCAAAATTTGCCTTGAATGATGTGTTTGTAGCTCATATTATGTAATCAGATCTAAAGCTGTACCTACCCCAAGGTAACTGCTGGCCAGTAGTTGTTGAGAAATGAAAAAATGTGGGAATTAATTATATAAGCTTATAGAAGAACTGTCTTGCACTTTCTGCAAGTGAATCATTCCCTCTCAGAAATACCTGAGAAGGCAGAAAGTCCTCTGAGACGGTGGTCATCAGGATAAAGTTATATATTAGAATAGGAAATATGTGTCAATGTGTCAGTTACAAGGTCTGGAAACCTTCTGCTGGATTCAGAATCTAGATCTTCTCATTTTATACACCCAATTTCTATTACATTTTAAATAATGAATAAAAATAGGACCAACATTTACATATTCCATTTTTCTTCTGTAGTTCTTTCCCTTAGGAAATTTATTTGAAAATATCAATTCTGATATATAATATGTTGTGGGAAATGCAGTCCCTTTCTTTTGAACTACATGATATCTACGCATTTACCAGTCCCATTTGTGGAATTACCATTTTTAGATTTCTGTTAAAGGCAGTTTAATAATTAGACCAATCTGAATTTAATTTAAAGTACTCTGAGACAGGAAACTCAGAGAACCTGCATTATAAATATAAAATTTCATAGGAGATTTTTAATATTTTTTTCATGTACCTAAGGAGGTAAGGCTTATGTAAGAGATGATTTTGATACCAAGTTAGGTCATAATGGCTAAATTTAATTTGCATTCACTTTTCCATTTCTATTCTTTCAGTTTATACTGAGTGTGCACTATGTGCTGGTAGGAATACTGACAGCAAACAATGCTTCAAAACTATAATTTCTTTGAAGTGACTGGAGGACATTGTGTTGAATTAAATAAGCCAGGTGCATAAAGAAAAAAATACATTGTCTCATTCATATGTAGAATCAAACGAAAGTAAGTGGATTTCATAGAACAGAGACTAGAATAATATATACTAGAGGCTAGAAACTATGGCAAAGGGGAACAGAGAAAAATCATCATAGAAGGTACCAAAAAATAGTTTGAAAAGAGGATTACATTGTTGTGTTCAGGCATACAGTAGAGTGACTGTGGTACATAACAAATTACTCCGTATTCTGTAAGGAACTAGAAAAAAGCAGTTTGACATTTTCTCATACAAAGAAATGATAAATGTTTAAAGACTTGGAAATGCTAATTACCCTGATTTGATCAGTACACACTATATACATGTCTCAAATTTCACAATCTGGTCTACAAATATGTCCAATTATGTCAATTAAAATGATAGAATATTTGAAGTTATGGGTAAAGTAATTGGTATATAATTTCATTACCCACTTTCATTTTAATTTCAAAGAATATACAATTTCTGACATATAATACATCAGACATATAGCCAAAAACGTTTAACAGCTTTTCCAATTTGCTGTTTAGTATAGTTAACTTGTACTTCTCTGAAACTGTGAAAGTATCACTAGAACATTTCAAAGCTGTAGCTCATCTTAACTGATCCAGTCAAAAAACTACTGAAAAGGAAATTCAACAGAATCAACGCTTTGCCTGTTGACTTTGTTGTAAAGGTAGAAACAGACAGGCTAGACCAAGGAATAATGACTCCTAGTTCATCTTCTTTTTATATGTTATGTTACATGGTTTCTAGCAGTGGACCTCTGCTTTCTTACTTTACTGAAAGAAGATATGTAAATATAATACAAAATTAATCAATTGCTCTATCAAACTTGCAATCCATCTACTGACATTGACTTGTTTTCTTTCTGGGTATACAATATGAGTAGAAGGCCCAATCTTTGTTGTTAGGCATAAATAAGCTTTGGAATGTAACCAAAGAATGGATCAGAACAAAGACAAAGTTCCTTGTTTGGGATGAGGGTTAAAAAGATGGGTGAAGCAATAAGCCCAGTAAGTGAGAGGTAGAGGCAGGAGGATTAGGAGTTTAAGGCCAGTCTCTGGTAGGTACATGGTGAACCTGATCTTGAGACCACCTTGGGCTACATAAGAGCCTGTTTCAAAAAGAAAACCAAACACCCTGAAAGACTGCTGGTACAATTCTGTCCTTTATCCCTCCAGAGGCTGATGACAAATGCTAAAAAGACTAAGGGTAAGATGGGGCTACATGTAGTCCTCCTTTGTGTTACCTGTTTTCTACTTCAAAGAAGAGATAATGGAAGACTAGGATCAATGTGCCAAACTGATAAATAAGTAAGAAGTGAACTAACTACTCTTTTCTTGTTTGTTTGTTTTGGTTTGGTTTTGGTTTTTTGAGACAGGGTTTCTCTGTGTAGCTTTGCGCCTTTCCTGGAACTCATTTGGTAGCCCAGGCTGGCCTCGAACTCACAGAGATCCACCTGGCTCTGCCTCCCGAATGCTGGGATTAAAGGCTTGCGCCACCACTGCCCTTATTTTTTCAACTTTGTGGTATATCTGTCTTAGTTTGGGTTTCAGTCACTGTGAAGAGACACCATGACCATGGCAACTTCTATAAAGGAAAACATGAAACGGAGGCTCGCTTACAGTCTCAGAGGTTTAGTCTCGGCAGGAAACATGGTGGCATGCAGGCAGATACGGAAAAGGAGCTCACAGTTCTAAATTTTGAACCACAGGTAACAGGAAGTGAACAGTGTCATTGGGCATAGCTTGAGCAAAGGAGACTTCAATGCCCACCCTCACAGTGACGCACTTCCTCCAACAAGGCCAAACCTACTCCAAGGTAGATTCTACTCCCTATGGGGGCCATTTTCTTTCAAACCACCAGAATCTCATTTAGGATGTTCAAAGTCTTGTAGAATCAAAACACATATGCATCCAAAATTGATTATTCCAATAGAAACTTATGAGAGATGGGTAAGATGAACCAGGAGATTTGTATTTCATACGGATGCAGGTGGTCTCCATGTGTAGCTCTAAGTGAGGAGGTAGTTATGTATTCAAATGTATTTTCTGAGTGGAAACCAAAATTATTACAGCCTCAAAAGTTTGTAAAAGATAAAGAAGTGTCTGTTGGCTATTTCTTATACTTTAGGTCTTTTGGGGGTGGGGAGCCCACCACCCAGCTCCCAAATAAATACATGGTGCTTATTCTTTTTTATGAATGCCTGGCCTTAGTTTGGCTTGTTTCTAACCAGATTTTCTTAGCTTAAATTATCCTATCTACCTTTTGCCTCTGGGCTTTTATCTTTTCCTCTTCTGTATACCTTTCTTTACTTAAGTTGTGGTTTGCTGTGTAGCTGGGTACACAGAGGCTCCTGGAGGCCTCTCTCCTTCTTTTCTGGATTTTCTCCTCCTATTTATTCTCTCTGCTTGCCAGCCTCTCCTGTCCTTTCTCCTGCCTAGCTACCGACTGTTCAGCTCTTTATTAGACCAATCAGGTGCTTTTGACAGGAACAGGAACACAGCTTCACAGAGTTAAACAAATGGAACATAAAAGAATGCAACACATCTTTGCATCATTAAACAAATACACCGCAACATAAATGAACGTAACACATCTTGAATATTCCACAAGTGTCAGTGTAGGTGAATAAAGAACTTGGTTTTAACCTTTTAAAAATTTGGACCTTGTTATTTTTCTTATGAAACTGTCAATAATTTGTTGGCGTTACTATTATCATTATTTTAGACAAACTCTATATTGCCTGGGCCACTCTGAACTTCTGCTCTTAAGCTATCCTCCTACTTCAGTTTCCTGAGTAGCTGGGACTAAAGCCAGGAGCCACCCAGCACATTTGTGTTAGGAGTCAATTACATTCCTCAAGGATTAAAAGATGTAATGAGTTTATGTTCTTAGTCTTGTAAGCACACATTCACTGAAAAAGTAAGTGAGCTAGTTCGGATTTCTATAAGATTTTATAAAGTATTCAGCACATTTTATTTATAATCTATACATATTCCTTAAGTGGCATATTTCCTATGGTGGTATAGAGAAGTGTTTTGATTAGCAAGTCAAATTGGTTTTTACTATTATAATGAACAATGACCGTATATATATACTAGTACAAATACAGTATGGGCTCCCTGATAGTTAATATGTAAAAATTATACATACAAATTTGTACATGGTGCAGGTATTTCCCTTGGCAGGAATATTTACCAGTCCTAACATATATTTACAAAGAAATATGTCTTTTGTTCCTTCATATATTTAAAAGTATTAATGAAATAGAGTTGCAAAGCAGTATGGTCCCCAATATTAATAACTCCTTAAAGAACTATTCTCTTGCAAATTACAAGTTACAGAGTTTAAATACAACATTCAAGTATTCCATGCCATCTTGAACTACATACACATAGAAACAATACTTGGTGATTATTAATTATTTCTTACTTTTGTTAAAAATGCAAAATAGATATCCAATCAGGTGAATAAAAACCCTGTCTCATTATTTGTACTCATCATTGTCAGTACTTTGTGCATTTCACTTATTGCTAAATTCAATGTAATAAATAAATATGTACCAGCAAACACCACTGAAAGCCAGACATATCTCTCTGTAGCCATGTCTATCACTGATTACTGAGCTGTCCAGTGTCTTTCTCATTATACCTGCTTGATGCCATAATTACAAAAATCTCAATTTTTCTACTTCTTAGGAGATTTATTCTATAGTTATTAAAATTAAAAATTCATGACATGCATGTTGTACTCATTCATTACAACGCTACTCCTCATATAAATATTTTGGATATATATTTTTTATATT